ATAGGGAAGGGTGAAGTGAGCGGTTTAGGGATAGAAATAATTTATATAAAACCATTAATAGATTTATTGATGGATTCTTGGTATAGGGAAGGGTGAAATGTGCGCTTTAGTGATTGAAATAATTTATATGAAAACGATAATAGATTTATTGATGGTTTTTTTTTGTATAGGCAAATGTAACTTGTGCTTTTAGAGATCAAAATTTAATATATATAAAAACGTTAATAGATTTATCGATGGCTTTTTTGTATAGGCAAATGTCACATGTGCTTTTAAAGATCAAAATTTATTTATATAAAACCATTAATAAATTTATTGATGGATTCTTGGTATAGGGAAGGGTGAAATGTGCGCTTTAGTGATTGAAATAATTTATATAAAAACGATAATAGATTTATTGATGGTTTTTTTTGTATAGGCTAGTGTCACATGTGCTTTACAAGATTAAAATTTATTTATATAAAAACGTTAATAGAATTATTGTTGGATTTTTTGAATAGGCAAATGTAACTTGTGCTTTTAGAGATCAAAATTTAATATATATATAAAAAAAAACTCACAACATATTGTAAGACATAAAAGGAGAATCAGTGAAAACTCCTACGGAAATAATTAATATTGTAATTGAGATTAGGTCTAAACCCCTAAATCATATATTGTCACGTTAATCAAATAATTACTTTATTATTATCGCCAAGCAATAGCGGATTGATTGAATTTAGTGTTATATAGTTTTAATTATATAGTAATTATAGGCCCTGTTTCTATACCTGTCTATACCTGGGTATAATCGTGGTGGCCATACTCAAAAGGTGTCACATTGAGTCGTAGGACTCACTTTGTTCACCCTTGATTACACGCGGATTCGGGATAGTGTCCCGAAGTGACCAAACTCTACCGCCGAAAGTCAGGACTGTCTTGTCGTAGTAATTATTATGAATTATAGTAGGCTGTATAGAGCATATAAGACATTCAGTATATCAGCACCTGACTCGGACATTCAAAGTTACATTACACCGACCCGACGGGATCTGAGAACAGACAAGTGTGATATATCATTTTAAGATTAACAATTAGAGAATAATCTCATAAGGTTAATTATGAAGTGAAGTAAGATTAGAAATTCTAAACTAATTAAAACTTTTAGCCTATGACTCATATGTATTTGTGTCCAACGATGTCGTCGTCTCCGGAATTATTGTCTCTTTCATTACTTTCAATCGATTCACTACTCATCGCACTTCTGGTCAACTCTTCTCGCAAACGATTGATTTCCGAGTCTTTGTGTTCGACGACTACCTCCAAAGCATTCGCCGTTTGTTTCGCTTCCATCAACTGTAGAGAAACTGTATTCAACTTCTCGATGACTTCATTCATGTCTTGAATGCTCTTCTGTTTACTTCTGTTCAACTCGTTATTCAATTCGTCGACCGTTTGGTTCAGTTGTGTCTCATTAGGGGTGGACTTTCGTCTTGTATTCATCGGTGCGTTAATATTCGCCGGATCTCGAGGTTTGGGAACTGGAGAAACCGTTTCTCGTTGTGTTTCAATACATCGACGAATTATCTGTTTCACAGCCTTTCTCTCTTCTTTTCTATTCAAACTCTTCGCCTACTTCTTACCAATGGTCGATGGAATCGTTAGAATCGATCGCACAGTTGGTCTCACAATCGGCGGACAGGCAGTGGCAGACGTGCCACTCCTCAAGATCTGATCTATACCCGTGATGTTGTCGTCGACGTTCTTCTGGCTCTTCTCTTCCTCTTCATCGCACTCGACGATAGCATTCACTTCTGGGTCTTGTCGTCGGTTCCGGGCGTCCATTCGCACGTCTTGGTGTTGCTGTTCCGGAGGTTCTTGTTCGGTGGTGTCGGCGGTGGCATTATGGCCAACAACTGTCTTCTCGGCGACGCTTCGATTTGCTTCAGTTGCGAACGATTTTGAGGACTACTCGGCGGTGTCTCCGGTCTTGAATGAGATTCATATTGTTGTGGCGGCGCCTGATTCTGCATATACTGCACAAATTGTTCCCACATTTGTTGGTCCGGCTGTTGCTGTTGAAAGTTGGGAACTCTCGGAGCGCTATAACATTGATCTCTTGAGTGACCAAAACGGTGACAACTAGTGCACTGCTCTCGACTTTTCAGACAATCGCGCGCAATGTGTCCAACTATTTGGCACCGATTACACGTTCGCGTCTCCACAGGACCTGACATATGCGGTGCAGTTTTCGATGTTTTGTCGACGACCTCTTGCTTTTGCGTTTCCGGCTTTTCACTCAAATCCCGAAGAATGGCAATCGCTTCCATGTGATCAGTAATTCCAGCCAATCGAGTTGATCTGTTTGCTCCGCATACCATTGGTTATTACTTTGCATATCTGATGATCTTTTGCCTTACATCGGCTTCCGAAGCTATTCACTCGCGTCCCGAACTGATGTGGCGTTTCTTTGGTCTCTCGGACAAGCGATGCAAATATCATATAGTCGTCATCGTTGCCATAAAATTCATTAAATTTCCCATTAAATTCATCATTCATTAAGTCGCCCAATTCTTGTCCTCATCGTTAGGAAAAGTTCCGAAAAACCAGTCTTTTGCCGAGCCTTCCATTAGACTATAAGCCATTGACCACTTCTCAATGTCTGACCAATCATTTCTCGCGCAGCGGCTTCGAACTCTTGGAGCCAAGTGGTCTTCTTTTGACTATTACCACCGAACTTACTGCACGTGATTTTGGGTCGAAATCGCCGCTCCGCTTGTTGTGTCATAGCGTTTGCGATCTGCGCCTGAGTATTCATCATTTGATCAAATGCTGTCATGTTTTGTGATGTGATCGGCACTCTTTGTTGACCACTGTAATGTTTTTGGCACTTATTGTCTACTTATTAATGACTGACTTTATCAGTTTTAGAACAAAGTTTTGAGGATCTGGTGATCGGTGCGGTTATTGGGCCGGCGATTCTACTCGACTACCCCGCTTGACCTTTACCACAAACTGTAGCCGCGGAAACTCTTCTTTGGTTACTCGTAGATAACTTAAACTCCGGGGGTGTACTATATCTCAAGATCAGGTCCCATCGACAAGAACTACCACTGAATCTAAACAGACTTCACAGCATTCCTCGACTCTCCTCTCACTTAGACTCGTTTCTGACCCAAAGTTTCTATTGTGTCGCCGAATATCTATCCCAGAACTCTAAGAACAACTACTGCTACCGATTTGTGGTATAGTCTATGACATGAGGTATGTCTTTGTCGACTTGAGTGGCGACTTCCGGCACTTCCGGTCAGGCCCGACACAATAAAAACGCGACAATTATTAACTAATTTGACTTTTATTAATGTTTTGATTTAGTTTTCGGCGAATACTACAAATGAGAAGTTAAACAAAGAAAAAGTTAAGAGATTTCGCCGATAATTACAATTAAAACATATTTAAGTAGAAATTTAAAAAAATGATAAAATTTAAAATCAGTACTAAAAACACGACTTCTCGCTCTGAGAGTCAAAACCACACTAACTTTTAAACAAAGCGATACATAGAAATCAGAGCTAAAAAACGGTTTCTCTTTCAAACCCGGATATGAAAAGCATTAAAAAATGATGAAAATCGCCGACACGTGACTTATTACAGCTTCTATAGTGTAATCGACGGAAAGTTTTTAGGAGTTAAACAAATATGAAGTAATCTGAGATTAGGCCTAACAATGGCTTATGTTTTATACAATAAAGGTTGAAATCGATTATCAAAAATAACAGTACAATTATAATAACAAATAAAAATATTATATTTAAAACCCTATGACTAATAATCAAAGCATCGTATTTTAACTATAGTAACTATTTTAGCGGTTAATAGCATTAGCCTAAGAGTTGGTATGTCCACCGATCATGCCATTAGGGTCATTTTAGCCAACTTTTATTTTAACTATAAATAACTATTTGAGAGGTAACTAACTATAACAACTATTAACTAACTATTTGACCAATATATGGAAAAATGGCCTAATTTTACTAGAATTTTATAAAATAAATATCAAAATTTCTCTATAATTTTTAAGAATTAAAATAAATCTTGTTAAAATTGTCTGTAAATAGTATAATATTGTCATCACATGACATACAGATGTCACTAAATCCGTACTCTATAGCTCTCTATCCCTTTCCGCCCAATACTCTACCCTTAAATCATTGTATACTCCGTACTCTCACTTCAGTCTCTGTTGTGTTCTCGACCGCAACGGTCGCACACAGGGCTCACACTCCACATACAGTTCACTATCTTTTGTACACTATTTGAAACTACAAGTGCTTTACCAATAAAGTCTCTCATTTGTTACACAATGTGCTGAATCTACCACTCATTCATACTCTACCTCTGGAACAGCTACTCATCCACTACTCGTACTCATATGTCCACTTCTGGACCCGACGCTAACTAACACTCGTTCTCAATGTCTTGCAATATCTGGTGATGAGAGGAGTAGATCCCAACACCTCTTATAACTCTTAAGTTGTGGCACTAAATGTCGGCCATTGACTACTATTGTCTCTGACCGGCAGTATCGCAGATGTCTGGCATCACTGGCCATTCATTTGTCGCTTTCGGTCGATACTAATTGACCGATTGCTTGGATACAACTCACAGCACACAACAATATCTTAAATAAACTAGTTTGATTGACAAATATTCTTTTATACTATTGTCATGTTTCAAATAATGCACACTATAAAACATTATAAAAATATTAAGATAGTTTTACATAATTAGAACTAACTTTTAGACTTAATAGACTTAAATTTTTATAAATAACACCGTTATTAATGCATAATAGATCATGTTGTAAAATGATTATTGAAAATTTTAATCAAAATATCAAGATTTTATCAAAAATAAATAACTATTTAAGTAACTATTTGATGCATTTTTATTAACTATTATAGTAACTATTTTGTATCTAATAAACAACTATTTTACGATGCTTTGCTAATAATAGAATAATGATTAGTGATCGACGAAATATCTCTTTGGCCATTATTTAGTAGTCGGCGAATACTTCCCGTCTTCAGAATTGATATCCATTCAATACTTTTCATTAATACAGGCGTTCATTAGGTTTAACATTGATTTGAAGGCATTATTAATCCAATGCAGAGTCGATGAAATGACTGAAGCGACTAATCTAATGGTTTCGTTGGACTCTCTCTCTCTCTCTCTCTGATTTTCCATTCATTTCAATACAAATTGTCTCTTAATTGGTATTCAATGCCAAAGAGCTGTCAGATGGAGGAGAAGTAGAGGAGAGATGAAGACATAACACGATTATGTCATAAGACATAAGGAAATAATTAAGTTATGTTTGAATTATTTGTGTTAATAATAAATGCAAAAATAAAAATGCAAATAAAAAAGCAAGAGTAACAACAATAACAAAATATGTTTCACCAGTTTTATTATTTAAAACATCTTATTTAAGTGAGAAAAATAAATAAAATTATATTAAAAAACAAAAATGGTAAATTTAAAAATAAATTATTTACTTGATAGTTGACGTCAAGTGAAAGGCTTTACATTATTTACAACCACACAAAATATGGTGATTTTGTTTTTTGTCTGAATTCTTATGGCATTAATGTAAACATTAATCTTAAGTCTAGATGTTTTTCTATTAATTTTCATAAATAAAATTTTTGAATTAATATAAATTTTGTTGTACACGTTATGCGATATTTCTAACACCCATTTAAAAAGCCCGCGTGCTATTTAATTTGCATTTTATTTTATATATTTAATATTTTTTAACATATTAAATAAATTACTTGTTTCCCACTAAATATAAATTGCATGCATTTTTTATGGTCAATTAGTTTCTGTGTATTAAAATGAACCGGATATTTATCTAAAATCGATGTCAATATAAAAACATATCGTGACTCAGAGTTTCAATGTTAAACAATAATGAGACAAAATATCCGGAATTTATACAGAATATTATCATTAAAACACAGCATATAATACAGAATATTCCGGTATTAAACAGAATTACAACAATATAACATAATAAAGCTAAAACAACTTTGGTTATGGCAAAATCAAACATCTCAAACTAAACTACAATACATGTCATGTCAGTAACATTGTAAACAAGATCACATAAACTCAAATCTAAACCCTCATCAATCAATCACTAAAATCGCCATGTTTATAATTATGATCCAAAAACTACTAATCATACTCTCATTACCCATAGGACCAAAACTGGGCGAAAAGTGTATACACCGTAACGCCTCGGCTCTGGACACACTATTACCATGCGGTCAGCACCAGGTGTGTAGCCCAGCCTACGGTGTCTGTCAGTGTCAGCCCAAATACAGGCCAGAAAAACGCAAGTGCGTGGCCGAAGAGCCGGATTTGGAGGCCAGCGGTGGGGCTCAACCCCTGGTCACACACTCATCCCATAGCCATCATAGCCCACGACCGACACCATCGCCACCCCCACCGCCACCGCCGCCGCCGCCCATACATAACGGTGAGCCCAATGGAGGTGGGGTTCAAGTACTGCCCACAATGACCGATGACGAGGGGGCCAACAAACCGGCGCCCACTAAAACTGCCGGCGGGTCCAAAGCACTGGTCATATTCCTGCTGATCGTCGCCATACTGTTATGCATAGCGTTAGCCGTTGTTATCATTTGGAGGTATTGTCAGCATTTTAAAGGCTCTTTTGATTTATGATTATTGACCTAGCGCAATTTTTAATTTTGTTATTTTATTATTATTTTATTTTATCTTTTTTGCAATTTTATTTAGTTTTTATTTATAATTTTATTTTATGCACTTTCATTATTTACTAAATTAATTATGTTTTAATAATAAACGCTTTGTTTGTTTCCGGAATAATTTATTATTATTACTTTTTTTTGCATCTTGATAAATTATTTTCTATTTTTAATTGACTAGGTTTATGTTATTTTGCATGTTTAGCAAGTTTAAAATATTTTCCGGTTTTTTTTGCATGGTGTACAATAGTTTGACAATGTTAAATTAGTTTTTATTTGTTTTAATACTTTTATAATGCGATTAGTGTACCAAAAATAGTGCCGATATTTTCATTATATGTACTGTAATTATTGGGATTAATTAAAATACTGTACAGATTAGCGAATAGTGTAGTCGACAAACGTTATTAAATTACTTTATAGTAAGCAGTATTCACTAATTGACAGTTTATTTAAAGGTTCAGTTAAAGTACAGTCTATTTTTGTTTGTATTGTTTTTGTTCACTCATGAAGTGATAGGAAATTATGCCAAAACTTTGGTTGACATTTATGTTTCTAGTTTTTTTTAAATAAAAACAATAAATTTTAAGCCTTAATGTTATATATTTAGTTCACTAATCTATTACAGTGTAGTTTCATAGGAAATACGCGAGTATTTTAATTGTACACTATATTAAAAATTATAAATCATATGCAAAATGCATGAAATCCTTTAAAAATCTGCCGCAAAAATCACTGTTTTTATTATTATTTCACTCTATAATGCACTGAATTGAATGACATAAATAATCTTGATAAATTGATTTATAAATATAAATTTATTTATATAATTTTACATTAATGCTATTTCTAAGTTACAGCCGTAATAGGAGTCGTGACATCTCAGCAGTCGCTTCGTAAATGATTTAATTAATTAAATAAATATTTTATTATGACATTAAACATGTTATTATACATACCACACAATATATAAGATGTTTATTGTATACACTATACTGTGTTCAAATTGATCGTGTTTATTGTTGTGTTGATAATAATGAGGTTAATAATGATGGACAAATTGGGATGACATGCGATGTGTTGTGTGTATTGTATTGTGAATATCATATGATTGAATGACAACCAGTTTTATGGACACAAATGGATCAGAAGATACCAGTGATGAGGGAAGACATGCCATGGGATGGTATTTATTGATAGATATATTTGTTATCTATATATCTATTGGAAACTATGTATGGAAAACACACGTTTGTAATGTACACAACAAACTGATGATGCTATTTAATTAAATTAATAATTGAATTCAGTTTATCGCTTATATTTTGAATGTTATATATTTTTCTGATATTTTAAGAATATTCTTGACTCTTTTCAAAAAACAAATACAAAATTTAGATTAATTTTCTCTCTCTCTCTCTCTCTCTCTCTCTCTCTCTCTCGTTCTGTCAAACAGTAATTAAGAGATAAATTATTAGAAAATATATTTGTTTTTAAAATTGGTAAAATTATTGTAAAGTAATATATATTTCTACATAAAGTAATATATAATATACAACTATACAAATAATGATTGACACAAAGCCTTGAAATACATTAGAAAAATTAATTGACAATTATTTTCGTAATAATATTGAATGAATTTTACAATTAATTATATTTTAAACAATAAAAACAAAACTAAAATAACTTTAACTGTAAAACAAATATAATTTTTAATTAAAATTAATGTGTTTTAAAGCATTGAATCTTTGGTTAATTGTGTGATTTTGACAGAAATTTTAAAATATTAAAATAATATTAAGTTATATTATATTTGTTTTTGCTATTTGTGTTTAAATACAAATATTTGTTATGTTTTTACTATTGATTTTACTATTGAATGCTAAATGTATATTAAATTCAAACAAAACAACAATGATTTTAAATTGTATAAATTATATTAACTATTTATTAAAACGATACAAATACAGCTCTTTATTAGGCTATGACTACACATTAAAATACTATACAATAATTTATAAATTTAAATATAATTCAATGCCTTATATTAAATATTTAGTAAATTATTTACAATGTATTACAAATCTGTTGCTTATTAAATGCTTATGTTAAAATTAATAAATTGCTATGTTAAATTATTTAGTTAGTTTTTTAATCGATGTATTACTTTTATATTTTATTAATTTTTAAATTACAATAAATTGTTAATTTTCAAAATACAATAAATAATTAATCTAGAAATTAATTACAAATAAGTATTTAAACTAGATGTTTGTTTTCTTACTTTTAACACAAAATTAATAAATATTTAATTATTGTAATGTATCAATAGTTTATTTTAATGATATTAATTGTTTTCAAAAAAATATGAAGATACTTTGTGAAGGTTAATTGTTTAATTATTAATTAGTTTGTATTTATTCATACAGTTTTTCCATGTTCAATTAACAATTTTTACATCATATTTTTATCGACTCCACTCAACAGAGTATTTATAAAATATTTGTTGAAATAAAGTTAATATATAAAACTAATAATGAAACGCCTGAAAAATAATTTTCCGCTATAATATGTATTTGTTGCTACATTATTATAAGACATATTAATTGAAAATTATATTATGTTGTTTAATATGAATAAAAATTAAAAAGGCTACTATCATTCTACTATAATGTTATAATATTTCTTACTTTACTATTGTTTGAATAATATAATATTTAGTAATTAAGGAATATAATTAATTAATAATTATTGGGAAGAATACATTAAATATACAAATACATTTGAATTGTCGTGTGCTAGTTTAGCTATAAATAAAATGTTTTTCAATAACACACTTAATGGATAATTATAAAGATATAATAAACATATTTGTGCTATACCATTAAAAAAAATAATTTACTGTATAATATACAGGGTATACAATCAAACAGCCAAAAAAATTACCATCAGGATTATAGTTGATAACTTATAAGTCTATTTTATTAAAGATTTACAATTATATACATAAAAATGAATAATAATAACAAATCTTATGGTAAATTTAAGTTAAATAAAACACTACCTGGTAATATGATCATTGAAGGGGCCGATAGCCATCTCTACCGAAATGGTTTATCGCCATATAATCTACGTTTAATTTATAGACACCCTTTCAGAAAACCAATACTTATATTCATTGTATCGTTAATACAATCAATTCGTTCCGTATGTATGATAACAATGAGTGAACAAAATGACCGCTTTTATGTGGTTTGGGGTGATTTCGGGCATTTAAATGGTGTCCGAATTCACACCAATTTAATTATTTCCGCGTCCGAGGCATAGGGCGCGACCGGCCAAATACGACGGCGGTTTAAACTGCCTTTAGGCATCAGTCGGACCATTTTCTTCTTGGGAACTGGGGGCTACGGGGGGACTTTATCCCACTTCTGATGAAACTAGCCAAAGTGGCCTAACCTTGGTTAGTTGACCTACGGAGAGCACTGCACACATACTCACTCACACTCACTCCAATGCTGCTGTTCATACATACTCATTCAGTATTAATAACACAAGTATTAATATAAAAACTATTTATTCAGGATTATAGCCAAAAACAGTATTAAAAGTAAATTATATTTAGTATTATTATTAACAGTATTATAGACTAAAAGTATTCAGTATTCAAACAGTATTACCACAACAGCATTCATTCAGGGCCACCAGTGCTCTGAAGGCAAGGATTGAGAGAGAGAAAACGAGTTGCGGTGCTCGCCGCTTATCTGGATGCGTGTGGTATTGGGCGGCGTTAACATTAGCCTATCGGTATTATGCAAATTATCAGTGTTTTGGCCCAATACCACTTACAATATTATTACAAAGTATGGGATCACAATTGATACAGTTTTATAACTACATGTCGAGTATAAATCCCAATGATTTGCGTGTATTTCAAGTGATGTCGGGTTTGATTGCACCCAAAAGTATTGGTCTCAACGATAGGGATGTGGTGTTGAAGTTATGGGAAACTTTCCGTAAAACATTGTCATACGCTGATTATTACACCAAATGTTTTAATATACAAAGTTTTTTGGTAGTGTTCTGGACATTATTTATCAATTATTCAACCATGGATCTAATTGTATACGGAATACCACATGTAATAATCTGGATGATTATTGCTAACTATGTCTGCTTGATTATGATCTGGCAATCTGTTTATTTTTATTTAATCACATATTATTTGGAAATTAAATTAAAAGCAATTAATGCTAAATTAAAAACACTGTGCGTTAAAAATATTAAAAGTTTCAATTTTCAAATAATGCGTGAATTAAATAATATATACGTCGAGATTAATGAATACAATGATATTTATTGGTCTAAATACCTGTCTATAATATGGTTTACATTGAGTTGTATTATATCGACGACAACTTATGTATTGTTTTTAAGTGATAGCAATATATTGAGTAAAATTGGTTTTGCAATGTTTTTCTTGTGTTTTTCATTAATCTTAATGTTTATAATCCGTATTTCTTCACTCATTTATATCGAAGCGAATAATTCATACAATTTATTGAATTCAATATTTTGTGACAAAAATGATAAAATTATGTTGTCTATTAAATTTAAGGTAAGATTTTGGCTTATTAATTAAAATTATTATTAGATGTATAATTAATTATATTTATAGTTATTAACATTGATTGAAAGAATTGGTACAAAAAGAGTGGGTTTTTATTGTTGGAAATTATTTATTATAAACACTTTCAGGGGATATGAGGTCTGAGAAATTAATTTGACTTATTTTTATATTATATTGATTTATAAAATTGTTTAAAATATTTTATCTCTTCAGATCATATCGATGATTGTAATGATGTATTTGAAACTATTAGATATTTAATAAATAGCTGGAGAGAGAGAGAGAGAGAGAGAGAGAGAGAGATTATATACTTAACTGGAATTAACTATACATGCACAGTATTATTAAGCCTACAAGTTGTAGTTAGCCTACAACCAATACTGCCCACTATGTTATCTATCTCTAGATATCTTGACCAGAATTTATATGGAAAAGGCCCAAGATCACTTATTCAAGGACTGGTGGTGCCGCGGGTTTCACGAGATGCTGTACACTTGCCGGAGGTATTGCTGGTATGTATACAATTAAAATGTCCGTGTCTAAAATAATTTAATAAGGTTTTACTGTAATATTTTCAACAACCCAGGCACATTTACAATAATAGCAGGAGGAGCAACCTTGGCTGCGTGTTGTGTGGTTCAGGGCACGTGTATGGCCGCGTGTACACCCTTTTTATTAGCGCCATAATGTCTGTCATAACTCACTTTTAAAATACTAAAATTATTGTATTTTTGATGATATTTTTAATTGTATTGTACCAGGAATAACTACAAATAAATTTTCGAGATAACATTTTACTTGTCCTGTTTTATTGCTAACTATTGTTAACGTAATTATAATAGATTCACCTGATATAAAGTCTGAGGTATACGTGTAATCAGTATTTTTGATAATTTATAATGGTTGCTTAAGTGTAAATTAAATCAATGTATTTGCTTTGGATATTCAATTTATAGTAATAAATTTTATAATTACGCTTAATTAATTAGACACAAAATAATCATTTCTTACAAGCAAACAGTAAAATATACATTAATTTTTTATTATCAACTTAAAAAATTTTGTGTAGAAATTAAATAATTATTTACACATTTTATGTGCAGAAAATCAGTAAAACATTTTACAAGTGTTGTCCTATTGTAGGGGTATTTCCTTTAAAGTACATGTATTATAACATTTTTGTGTTATTTTATTACATTTCATAACAAAAATACTTTAAATATAATTTTTATTAATTAAGTATTTATAAAAATATTTACATTAAATAATAAAATAATTGGATAATTGTTGGCTCGTATGAAGAGATCCAAAAGTGATGAAAACAATAAAATAATCTTTTATTACATTTAGAGGAGAGAGAGAGAGAGAGAGAGATTACCCTTAAATTGGGATTAGCATATTATTAAGCCTACAAGTTATAGATTAGANGAGAGAGAGAGAGAGAGAGAGAGAGAGAGAGAGATTACCCTTAAATTGGGATTAGCATATTATTAAGCCTACAAGTTATAGATTAGAATCATAACTTCCTACTACAGTATTGGTCATGTATGTTATCTAGATCAGAATTTTGTATGTACCCAAGATTATTTGAGTACATGAAAGCACTGGTGGTGATATTGAGTCCACACGTGATCAATATAACATTGTTTTATTTAAAGTTCAGCACATTTTTGCATTAATACAATATAAATTGTTTTACACAATTAAAGGCTTGTGGTGTATTTGGTATATATCAAAGGTAAATAATTTATGAAAATGTGTATTGTTTAGCCATATCACAATAGCAACATGCTTTAACTAATTATATCAAATATAATTGTGCCAGGGTGTTTTTAACCATGTGCTCAAAATTATTGGTACTATTTGTGATGGTATTATTGGTGCGCGAATCGAGTGCCGAATTGCCGATCGACTCGCCCTGTCTATCGGCTTGTATCGCGATTTTCACGAAGTGCTTATCATATGCCGGCCCCGGTATGTATACAATTAACATGTACCTGTATATTTCTAAAATAATTCACTAATGTTTTAATATAATATTTTCAATTACCCAGGCATGTTTACATCGGTATGGTATATGCCAACCGTGGCTACATGTGGTACGATTCAGGGCACATGTATGGCCGCGTGTGTAGCCCTTGGATTAACGCCCACCCCATAATGTCTGCCATAACTCACTTTTGAATAATTAAATTATTGTATTTTTAATGATAATATTTTTAATTGTATTGTACCAGGAATAATTACAAATAAATTTTCAAAATAACATTTTACTTGTATTTTATCGCTAACTATTGTTAACGTAATTATAATAGATTCAGGTAAAAACATCAATTTTGAAATACACCAAGATAGTTTAATATACCTTTATTCATATCAAAATACAATTATTTGATCATTATCTGGCTTTAATAGGCTAAAGTAAGATTTAAAATATATACAACCAGTCAGGTTTAATTTTCAAAATACGAATACCAGTTTCGGTTAAATGTTGCTTTTTATTCAGACTAACATAAAAATAATTATTTATACATTATAATATACATTATAACATATTATGTGGAGGAAATGAGTAAAACGTTTTACAAGTGTTTCCTATTGTGGGTGTATGTCATGTAACATATTATAAGCCATAAATTTACATGTATTTTGGCTGTCATTGTGTTTAATGGCCAGTATTGACAGCAAACGCAATGATACGGCGTTTTCGCTCTGAGATGAGAGATGCGATGATGTGATCACATCTCTCGTCAGAGTATAAGCAAACCTGAGAGCACACACTTCTGTATGGTTTGCTTGAGTTTCTCAACAAATCAAAGTTAATCACGATTTGGCATTAAGTTTCGTTTCAATTATTTATATACAAATTGGTCTGATTTAGGTAAGCTTAATATTGTTTAATATTAATTTGCTAAACATTTCTGTACAGTCCTGTGTGTGTGTGAATTTAAGGGTACTTTCCAGAATGACCACCTCCGGGCGTGCATAAGCCCAGTTAGGCAGCTTGCAATATTATAACCAAGCTTGTATTTTAACTCTCGCGTTTCACTTATTTTAGGATAAGTGTTACTGATGTTACATTTATGTTACGTATCCCTTGTGTCAACATTACGTACAAAATTATAATTACTGTTTTTAAGGGTCATTTGTGTACCAACATGCATCTGGGATTTATTGTTAAAAATGAAAACAAACTGCATAACTGACCTCCGGTTTGACCGCAGTAATCACTTTTATAAGATATATATTTAAACATTTTATATATTTTATGAATGAATATATCATAATATGATGTTTCAATGAAAAGATATGTATGAGAACAATTCTAAAATAATTTCATAATTATGGTGCAATCGAAAAAGGTTATGAAAAACAAGAATGATTATAACATTTTTGTGTCATTTTATTGCATTTCATAACAAAAATACTTAAAATATAATTATCATTAATTAACTAATGATTACATAGTCTTTTTATAAGACAAAATTCATTAACAACTCATTCATGACTTATTTATCACTCACTTTCTGTATTACAATTTTGTTATAGGATTACCTCCAAGGGTTACAGGGAAACCCTTTACTGGTCAACATATTACAATCACATACAGGAAAGTTTAAAGAACATTGTAGTTTAAAAACTATTTAATTGTAATTTTAAGCAAACGTTTCGTACAATTAGTTCAGTTGATCCCAAGATATGGCGCAACAGTTGACACAAATGATGGCATCACTCGAGACCACAGATGACGGCAATGAAGACAACATTCAACACGTATTTGTTAAACAATTTGTTAATCAAACTTTTTATTAAGTTTTATTTTTGTCCCACATTTTAGCCAACGATATACGCGAAGAACTCAATGGACAGATTCGGTGATGATTTGTGTGCACTTCTATTGTCTTATCTCTCACTCGAAGATCGATTTCGATTTGAATGTGTGTCCAAACAGTTCCAGAGGAGAGTCTTCGAGAGTGTTGTGGACATCAATATTGACGACAAACTCATGAGTAGAGCACAGAAGCGAACCGAGACTTTAATCTATTTGTTTACACCGATTGTCAAAAAGTGTCCAAACATTGAGACAATTGATTGCCGAGAAATAACCGCTTGTTTGGAACAGTTTCCAAGAATGTCGGACACATCTCGAGGCAACTTCAAGGCAATGGTCTTAGCATTGAATGAACGCAAATGCGAAATATTACCGCTATTTCGGGACAATTGCCGACATTTGCGGGAAATTTATTGCAATTTAATGCCGAATAACAATCACTTCTTCGATATATTCGGACCACTGATCACACGAAGCGATTTCGGAAGAAATTATTCTCGAGAGAAACAATCGCTCAGTCATTGCCACCGATTGTCTCAATTAACTGTCATCTCGTTGTCCGATGTCTTCGACAACACTTCCGGACTATTGGTCAAGAATTTGCAGACATTTTCATTTGGTTTCAATCAAATGGATTATAAGAACAACTTCTCTGCATTTGTGGCACACAATCAGTCCCTCAAACGTCTTGATGTGTATGTCATGTCATATCAAAATCAAGAGTCTATGACTGAACTGTGCGGACAATTGTCACGATTACCACAATTACGGGAATTGACACTCGATTTCCTTCACATGCAGTACCAGAACTTAATTAACTACTCTTTGCGTACAATTGGCGTGAATTGCAAACAATTGCAACGATTGACACTCCGATTGAGCGCCGTGTCTAAGGAAATCAATGACCAGAGTTTGGATTTGTTGAAAGCTTATCGCGGATTAAAACGATTGGATTTAACACTCAATGCGGTCATCGATGGCGAGTCTTTGGAACCGCTGAAACTTTGCCACCGATTAACGCATTTAACACTTAATATTAATACACGGAAAATGAGTGAACAATTGTTGGCTAATTGTGACCAATATTTGCCTCGACTTCAGTCGCTATACATTCGTGACAAATACCAACGAATCACTCGCGAGTGTTTGGATTACATCTCAAGACTACCGGCGCTTCAAATGCTTGTCATCGAGAGTCAAAACAAAGGTCTGAGTGATAATGAATTCTCGCATCTGTTGTCCAAAAGCCCTAAACTCAAGACCATTGAAATGCGTGAATACAAATTAAATGAAATCCAATTTCAAAACGATGTCCACAAATTGTGTTTCATATAAAATCCATTAAAACGTATTACAATTTATTGAATTTAAAATAATTGAATTTAAAATAAATATTACTATTATTATATAAATTGAAAGTAAATCGAGTTGAACAATGTTAATTCTATAAATGTAATGCTTTTTAAATATACTTTAAAACCGATAACATTACACAAACATTGATTATTTTCAAAAGTATTCAAACAATTAAATAATATTTTTTGACAGCAAATTACTTTGTTTTTATAAAAATACAAATTGAAACTTAATTTGGTTATTCATAAAATTAGTAATTGTTAATTAATAAATGAACAAATAATTGTAATATTCATGTATATCATACAAAATACTGGAATAATATTTAATAAAAACTTTTATTTTAATTAAAACATAATTACATGTATTAGTTATACAAATATTTTCTAAATATGAAATCAAAAAACAAATCTTAATTGTTTGACTCAATTGTAATAATTATTTTACAAATATTAACCATTGATTGCATTTTTACTTTGAATAAAACTTCTTAAAAATATACTTTTTTGGCAGTATTTAAATAATTATTTTAATTTAATTAAAAGTAAAGCATAAATAAATACAAACAATATTTAATATTTAACTTTTTATATGATATTTAATTGAAAATTAATAATTACAGAAAATATTTTTTATTGAATAAAATTTAATACAGATTTACATTAAATAATTAATTGTTTTATAAAAAACTATAATTATTTAAATTTTGGCACATTTTATGCATTGAATTATAATTTGTTAAAACATTTAATCAATATTTTATTCATAAGTTTTGGTCCTTTTCATAGTATATTAACAATAAGTATAACAATAATCAGTCAATCATTCAAATAGTGTTAAATATAAAAGTTTTAAACACTTTAACTGTACTTATAATCTGTGTTTTACACAACATTTGTTTGCATTTTATAAGACAAACACTTAATTCATTTATTGATTACAATCTCTTCATTTGATCCCAAGATATGGCGCATGAGTTGACACAAATGATGACATCACTCGAGACCACAGATGACGGCGAAGACAACATTCAACAGGTATTTGACAAACAATTGATTGTTTATTGAGTTTTTATTGTTTTTGTCTCACATTTTAGACGCAAATCTACGCCAAAGACTCTTTAGATCGATTCGGTGATGACTTGTTTCAAGTTTTGTTGTCTTATCTCTCACTCGAAGACCGATTCCGTTACGAATGTGTGTCCAAACAGATCCAGAGGACAGTCTTCGCGAGTGTTGTGGACATCAATATAGACGACAAACTCATGAGTAGAGCACAGAAGCGAACCGAGACTTTAAGCTATTTGTTTGAATCGATTGTCAGAAAGTGTGCAAACATTGAGACTATTGACTGTCGAGGAATGAACTCTAAATACTATCAAATCATTGCCGATATATTTAAGACATTTCGTGACAATTGCCGGCATTTGCGGCAAATTTACTGCTCTTTGTGGCCAAACAGCGATCATTTGTACCGTACGTTCGGTCCACTCATCAAAGAGTTGACTTCATTTACCCAAATGAAAGACAACTCATTCATTGCCACCGATTATCTCATTTATGTGTCGATTCGTTGTCCGACGTCTTCGACACCACTTCCGGACAATTATTAGTGAAGAATTTGCAAGAATTTGACTTTTCGTTCATTTCAAGTGATAATAAGGAACTGTTGCCCACATTTGTGGCACACAATCAGTCACTCAAAAGTCTTGTCGTTTACGAGAATAGATATGACACTCAAGAGATTCTTCCGGAACTGTCGACACAATTGTCACGATTAACACAATTACGGGAATTGAGACTTAATTTAAAGCTAACCGATGGCCAGAACTCATTATCTGAGTCTTTGCTTACAATTGCCTTAAACTGTAAACAAATAAAACGATTGTCACTTACATTGCGTTCAACTGATTCCCGACTCAATGGCCATACAATGGATTCGTTGAGATATTATCACGAATTAAAACGTTTGGATTTAAGACTCTATTTTTCTGTCGACGAGGAACTGTTGGAACCGTTGAAACTCTGCCACCGATTAACACATTTAACACTTCATTTAAATCAAATGAGTGACAATTTTATGGATAATTGTTGCAAACATTGGCCGCGACTTCAATACCTATTTTTGGGAGACAATTACACGTTAAGCGTCAAGTGTTTGGCTCACGTCTCAAGACTACCGGCGCTGCAAATGCTTGTAGTCTACGCTTCGGAAGAATATAATGGTCTTCGAGACAAGTATTACGAGAATCTTTTGGCCAGAAGTTTGAAACTAAAAACTATTGAAATCAATAGAAATAATGTTTCGAAATATTATTGCCGTCAAAATGCTTAAAATGTTGTATTTACTAAATATTTATATTTTTATTTAATTGTATACTTTTTTGGCAGTATTTTAATAATTATTTTAACTAAATTAAAAGTAAAGCATAAATAAATACAAACAATATTTAATATTATGCTAATTATATGGCATTTAAGTGAAAATTAATAATTACAGAAAATATTTTCTATTTCCTTTAGTTTTCACTTAAAATGTATTAAAATGTATAGAAATTATTATTATATAAATTGAAAGTCAATTTTGAGTTGAAAAATGCTAACCCTATAGCAATGCTAATTCTATGGATGTAATGCTTTTAAAATATTCTTTAAACCCGATAACATTACACAAACATTGATTATTTTCAAAAGTATGAAAACAATAAAATAATGTTTTTTCACAATAAATTATTGTTTTTTTGTAAAGATAAAAATTGAAAGTTTATTTTGAAAATTCATCAAACTTAATTAGTAATTATATTAATTAATAAAAACTCAAATATTTATCATTTTTGTGTATGAAATGAATAAAAATACTGTAATAATTATTATAAATAACTTATATTTTAATTTTAAAAATCATGTATTAGTTACACAAATATTTTCCAAATATATCAAAAACAACTCATAATTGTATGACTCGATTGTAATAATTATTATACAAATATTAACCATTGATTGCATTTTTGCTTTGAATAAAACTTCTTATAATAATTATTATAACAATTATTGTTAAAACAGATTTCGATTGTCTTTAGTTTTGGGCTTTTGAACAACACGTCTGAGAAATCACTGTCCGAGAGATCAATGGTTACAAAGCATTGAATGATAAGTGTTTGCAGAGCCGGTAGTGTCGAGATCTGATCCAAACAATGGCGGCTAAAATTGTAACATTCAATGGATAGGCATTGAAGTCGAGGCCAAAGTTCGTGACAATTGACAAATAAATTGCTGTTTAATTGCAAGCATTTGAGCGATAAATACGTCAATCTTTGGCCCGAAATCCTTTGACTAAACCATTGAGAATCGATCGTTAAATCAAAGCGTTTCAATTGTCGAAACACTTCCAGTGAATCCAATGTCGAGACTTTGATTTGAGTGGTTTGAGAGTTCAATACGAGTGACAATCGTTTCAATTGTTTACAATTCACGCCAATTGTACGCAAAGAGTCGGCCAAAGGGTAGTGTTTGGGAAACGCCTGGAATTCAAGTCTCAATCGCCGTAATTGTGGTAATCGTGACAATTGTTCGGTCAGTTCGTTGAGTGTCTCCCGAGTATTGAATTTGATCTCTTTTATGACAAGATATCTGAGGGACTGATTCTCGGCCACGAATCGGGATAACAATTGATTGTTAAAGTTTTTCAGTTTAAATGTGAACTCAAAACCCAACAAATTCTTCGCCATTAGTCCGAAATTCTGGTCAAATACGTTGTCTATAAAAGTGACCGACAAATGAGACAATCGGTGGTAATTCGTGAGCGATTGTTTAGTCGAAACTCCATTAATTCTGGTGACCAGAGGTCTTAACTTTGGGATCAGTTGATAACGATTTGAACGCATATTGCAGTAAATGTGCCGCAAATACCGGCAATTGTCGTGAAATATCTGCAAACCATTGTTATTACATATCATTCCTCGACAGTCAATGGTCTGAATGTTTGGAAACTTTTTGGCAATTGTTTCCATCGTTTGAGTGAATGTTGTCTTTGTTTTAAGGATTTTTCTAATGAGTTGATCATTGAGTTCGATGTCCACAACACTCGCGAAGACTGTCCTCTGGAACTGTTTCGACATACATTCCAATCGAAACCGATCTTCGAGTGAGAGATACGATAATATGAGTCCATACATGTCATCACCGAATCTGTCCATTGAGTCCTTCGCGTAAATCTTCGGCTAAAATGTGAGACAAAAATAAAACTCAACAAACAGTCAATTGTTTGACAAATACCTGTTGAATGTCTTTGTCTTCATTGCCGTCATCTGTGGTGACGAGTGATGCCATCAAATGTGTCAACTGTTGCGCCATATCTTGGGATCAACTGAACTGATTGTACGAAAGGTTTGCTTAAAATTACAATTAAATAGTTTTCAAATCAAAATTAATGCCAAAAACAATGCTTTTAAAGAAATGCAAACAAAATAATCATTTAATGCTTTAATTGAAACAATAGTGCACTGCATATGAGAAGAGGTGTTATTTAAACCGAGTGTTAATTGTGTTTGAGTATAGTTTTCATAAGGTTTAAAGGAAAATACAATCAATTCTCGCTTTAAATGTCATTCTAATGGAAATAATGTGAATAAATACATAGATTACAACTTAATTATTGTGCTTTAATATTAATTATAACATTGTGTTCATGAATTTGTATTGCATTTGAGAAAGTATAAGATAACAATAAAAACTAATGTTCTTATGATTAATAAAACTAAAAGAGTATATGAGGTCTGAGAAATTAATTCGACTTAATTTTATATTGAATTAAATAATTGTTTAAAATATTTCATCTGTTCTAGATCATATCGATGATTGTAATGATGTATTTGAAACTATTGGATATTTAATAAATACTTGGGCAAATGAAACGATTGAATTATCAATAATAATTTTAATTACTTTCCATTTAGTTTACAAAATTAAATTAATTATTTCACTAATACTGTATAAGAATAAAATCATTTAATGTTTAAAATGATCATCAGATGCAGCGATAATCGGCACAATTTACGGCAATTAACACCGATTTGTTTCATACCATTCACTATAATAGTGTTGAAAGTGTCTGAATAACAGACAAACTTCAAATCAATTAATGCCACCATTTGTGACAAACCATTCATTAGTATCTCAATTGAATTGACTTAAAATTAATAAATGTTTAATAAAAAATACTTTTAATACAATTATAGTTTAATATTAAATTCATTGAAAATTGAATATTGAATACAAACATAAAAATCTTTTTTATATAATATCTTAAGTATAATTTATAATCAATTTTAAAAATTTATTTGTTCTTTAAATGAACTTCTCTTTTGTGTCGATTTAAATGTCCGTTTGATTTAAAACTTTTGTTACAATCATTGAAATCACATTTAAATGGTCTTTCGTCCGAATGATAGCGTTTGTGTTGATTTAGTTTTTCCTTATCTGAAAATGTTTTGTCACAATTTACTTCATCACATTTAAATAGCTTTTTATTTAAATGAACACAATTGTTGTGTCGAATTAAATGTGATTGTTGTTTATAACTTTTATTACAATTATTGACATCACATTTAAACAATTTTTCTTCCCTATGAATGCGTTTGTGTGTAATTAGATTTGATTTCTGACCAAAACTTTTGCCACAATTATCTTCATTACATTTGAATGGCTTTTCATTAAAATGAACACAACTTTTATGTTTTTTTAATATCGATTTTTTTGCAAAACTTTTATTGCAATCATTGAAATCACAAACAAATTTTAGATTTAAATGAACACATTTTTTATGTAAAATTAATTCTGATTTCGTTGTATAGACTTTAATACAATTATCATAATCACATTTAAATGGTTTTTCTCCCGAATGCACGCGTTTGTGTACAATAAGTCTATTTTTATCAGAAAATTTTTTGCCACAATTTTCTTCGTTACATTTAAACGGCCTTTCATTCAAATGAACACATTTTCTGTGTTTAACTAAATATGATTTATCGGTAAAATATTTGTTACAATTATTGAAATCACATTTATATCTCTTCTTTAAATGAATGCTATTTTTGTGAAGAATTAAATGTGATTTATGTTTATAAGCTTTGTTACAATCATTAACATTACATTTGAATGGCTTTTCTCCCGAATGACTCATTTTATGTACAATCAAACTGCGATTAGTTGCGAAACTTTTGCCACAATTCTCTTCATTACATTTGAATGGTTTGTATTGTTTTTTATTCAAATGAATATAACTTTTGTGTTTTAATAAATATGATTTATCGGTAAACCATTTGTTACAGTCATTGAAATCACAAACAAATCGTTTATTCAAATGAACAATATTTTTATGAAGAATTAACTGTGTTTTCCATTTATAACTTTTGTTGCAATTATTAAAATCACATTTAAATTGTCTAACATTTGAATGAATTAATTGATGTGAAGGTAAATTGTTTTTGTTTTTACTCTTATATTCACATTTAGGCCAAAAACAGTGGAAATATTTATTATTATTGTTATTATTAGATTTATTATTAGATTTATTATTAGATTTATTATTAGATTTATTGCCAATGATTTTGGTTTTATTCATTGAAAGCAATGGTTCACTAATTTTGAATGCTTTGCAAACAATTGTTTGATTGATATCTAAAATGCAATTATTTTCTGATTGAATGTTTTCACACAAAACACTATAATTTGTATTTAAAATGCTCTGAATTTTGTCTAAATTTTGACAAAAACTTTTGATTGCTTTCAACTGATTCTTCAGTTCAATGAAATGCATGTCTTTGTGAGTGATTTGATGTGTGCTTTGGCTGTCGTTGTCTTCGGTGGCCATCACTTCAACTCTAACTTCGGTTTAAATCTTATGTTTAATATAATCACAACTTTTGCCGCAATTTATTGAAAATCAATTGTTTTAATCAATTTCTTACAATATTACACAATATATGATTTCAAATCATATAAAATACTCATTAAAACATCAATTGGTTTGTGACTCAAAATTATACAATAATTTAGCGATTGATTGGTATTTGAAGTAAACGTTTGGATAAAGAAATCCCAATCAAAATGTGGACATAATTTGGGTGTAAATTGTGTTCACTTTCGGCACTCAAACCACAAATCAATTATAGATTTAATATAATAATTAAAAAACACTTAAAACTAAAGACAAAATCAAAACTTTTGTCGCAATATATAGACATAAAAATATAAAAACGTTTATTTCAAGCATTGACTCAACTCTGACTCACTTCCTCTCCACACAAACCACTCATTGATTTAATATTTTGTATTAAATTATTAGGAAATTATCAGAAAGAGAGAGAGAGAGAGAGAGATTAAGCTAAAACTGGAATTAATATGTAGTTTATTAACCCTACAACCAATACTGTCCAGTACTACCAATACAACCAACACGTTATCTACATGTAGATCAGCATTTATATGGAAAAGTAGGCCCAAGGTCAAATATTTGAGCACAGACCAGGGTTTGTGGTGTTATTGGATGCACATGTGGTCAATATCACACTGTTTGAAAGTCAGCACATTTTTACCATAATACAGTATAAATTGTTAGAAACTGTTAAACATTTGTGGTGTATTTGATAAATAATAAAGGTAAATAATTTGTGAAATTATGTATTGTTTAGCTACATAACAGTAACAACTTGCTCTTAATAATTATACCAAATATAATTGTGTCTAGGTGGTTCTCGCTATGCATTCAAAATTATTGGTACTATTAATGGTGGCATTATTGGTGAATGAGTCGAGTGCCGGCCCCGTGGCCTACGGACTCTGTCAGACCGCTTGTAACGCGGGTTTCACGAAATGTTGTACATTTGCCGGAGGTGTTGCTGGTATGTATACAATTAAAATGTTCTTGTTTCAAATAATTCAATAAGGTTTTACTGTAATATTTTCAATTACCCAGGCACATTTACAATAATTGGAGGAGGAGCAGCCTTGGTTGCATGTTGTGTGGTTCAGGGCACGTGTATGGCCGCCTGTGTACCCCTATTAGCAGCGCCCACCCCGTAATGTCTGTCATAACTCACTTTTAAAATATTAAAATTACTGTATTTTTGATGATAATATTTTTAATTGAATTGTACCAGGAATAATTACAAATAAAATTTTAAAATAACAATGTTTTATCTCTAACTATTGTTAACGTACTTATAATACACTACATGTACTGTAGATTCAAGTGATTACATTTCATAACAAAAATACTTCAAATATAATTTACAGCAATTAAGTAATTATAAAAATATTTACATTAAATAATAAAATAATTGGACAAATGTTGGCGATTATGAAGAGATCCAAAAGTGATAAACAGGTGTTTACGAAGAATAGGGAGAACTTTTTATTTAAATTTTGGCACATTTATTAAAAAATTGTATTTATTAAATATTTTTATTTTTATTTAATTGTATACTTTTTTGGCACTATTTTAATAATTATTGTAATTTAATTAAAAGTATAGCATTATTTTATTAAACAATATTTAATATTTTGCTAATTATATGACATTTAAGTGAAAATTAATAATTACAGAAAATATTTTCTATTGAATAAAATTTAATACAGATTTACATTAAATAATTAATTATTGTTTTATAAAAACTATAAGTTATAGTCTGTGTTTTACACGACATGTGTTTGCATTTTATAAGACAAACATTTAATTCATTTATTGATTACAATTCATTACAATCTCTTCATTTGATCCCAAGATATGGCGCATGAGTTGACACAAAGGATGGCATCTCTCGAGACCACAGATGACGGCGAAGACAACATTCAACAGGTATTTGACAAATAATTGACTATTTATTGAGTTTTCATTGTTTTTATCTCACATTTTAGCCACAAATCTATGCGAAAGACTCTTTGGATCGTTTTGGTGATGACATGTTTCAAGTTTTGTTGTCTTATCTCTCACTCGAAGACCGATTTCGTTACGAATGTGTGTCCAAACAGATCCAGAGGACTGTCTTTGAGAGTGTTGTGGACATCAATATTGACGACAAACTCATGAGTAGAGCACAGAAGAGAACCGAGACTTTAAACTATTTGTTTGAATCGATTGCCAGAAAGTGTACAAACATTGAGACCATTGACTGCAGAGGAATAACCACTTGTTTGGAACGCTTCCCAATAATTTCGGACACATCTCGAGACAATTTCAAGGCAATGGTCTTAGCATTGAATGAACGCAAATACGAAATATTAACCATATTTCGAGACAATTGCCGACATTTGCGACAAATTTATTGCAATTTAATGCCGAATAACAATCACTTCTTTGATATATTCGGACCTCTAATCACACGAATCGATT